AGACTCAAAAAAATATACCCTATTTTTCGGATTTTAAGACACACCAAGATTTTGAAGAGGTAAGGTTTTTGCACTCTACAGACCGCCCAAATCCTCTGCATGCCTCATTTTTTATAAAAAATGGGGCATGCAGTGAGTTTGAGGCTGCAAAGTGCTGCTGGGGGGGGGGGGGGGGGAGGGGGAAGCAAAAAAACAGCCAGATTTTCACAAAAACAGGCCTGTTTTTTGCAAAAAAAAACAAAAAACAAACCAGGGCATGCATAGATTTTGGGAGGCTTATAGAGTGCTCCTGGGGGCTGGGGAGAGGGCAAAAACGGGCAAAAAATGGCCCACATTTTGCTCGTTTTTGCCCTCCCCACCCTCCAGGAGCACTTTGCAGGGCTCCCAAACCCTCTGCATGCCTATTTTTGTGAAGTGGATGGGGGTTTTGGAGGCCAAAAACACTGTATTCAGTGTATAAGGCACACCCAGATTTTCACTCTCTTTTTGGGGGGGAGGTGCATCTTATACTCCGAAAAATATGGTATATATATTCCTTTTTAATGTAAAATTCCAGCCCAGCTTCTCACAGTAAGAAAGCAACCTCCATGCTGCTTGGCAGTCTTCTGTCTTCCCACTTGGAATGATGAGTGGCTGGGAAAGGCCCAGTCTCTTCTTCTGCTCCTTCCTCCAAATACCCATTGAATATATTTTTCAGGTGGACGGACGAATGTCTGTGGCCACAGGGGGTGCTAGTGAAACACAGCAAGAACGTCTACAAAGCGGTGGGCCACTCCAACGTGGCCGTGCCTTCGGATGTCTCCCACTTCCGCTTTCACGTAAGCTGCTCTCCTTGTATCAAATGTTGACGGTGCATAGCTGCCATTTTGTCCTGACCTTCCTCCACAGTGATTTGGTCTCTAGTGACCGCAAGAGCACAGCCAGTGGTTTGCTAAGGTTTTTTCTTTTTTCTTTTAAGCACCCTACAAGCCCTGAGATTTCCAGCTGGTCTCCCAACCAGGAGTTAACCAGGCCCCATTTTGCCTAGCTTGTAGCCCAAAGGATTCTGAATGAGTGTTGCAGAGGTAGCTTTCGCCTAGAGGCCTCTGAGCCTTCTATGAACAGAGGGTGATATTCTTTTCATTGGCACTCCAGCCTGGAACACAATTTTCTATAATCTCTGTTCCTTCTCAGGGTGTTTTTCAATCCTGAGGCTTGAACATTAATTTAAAAACATGCCAAGACGTTCATCATTTGCCCGAAGAAGAGAAAATGGGGAATTTAATTCTGCCATCACCAGAAAGGCTGGGCTGTAACTTTCTCATTGAAAGAGAAGCCCAGAGAACAGACCCAATGATGCCACTGTTAATAACAGGGAGTTCTTAGGAATTGGGAGTTCCAGGACCAACCACTCTGTGTGAAAGTGAAGACTGTCTTGCATCTGTATGTTGTGTTGGCAAAAGGCTGGTTTTATCAGTAAATCTTTTTTTCTGGACTATTTGCCCATTACTCTTGTAGCTGATCTGAAAACCACAGGCTAGAAAGTTGAAGGATACTCTCTAATTGTTGACAAAAAAAAACTGTCAGTAAACAGTTAGAATGCACCTTGGTATTCCTCTGTTGGGCACTGCCACTATTCCCCCAAACCTCTCCTCTGTGCCCTTTTCCTGCATTGTCATCCACAGTTTTTCAGCCCCACCCTGACAGCCAAGAGAGCAACACAGCTTAAATAAAAAAAATATTTCTTTTTTTAAGGGTTCCACTCCCCCAAAGTTCCATTTCCCTATTGCAATTTTGTGAGATTCAAGGTGAGAATAGCAAAAGATCTGGTGAAGATTTGAGTTATTTACTCTGAATGTTTAACTTTTTAGATTCTGTTTTGGTTTGGCTAGTCACTTTGAATGCTCACCAGAGCAAAACAGTGGGGTATAAATAAAATAAATAAAGTAAGAAAGAAAGATGTGAATGTTGAATGATATGATTTTACTCTGGTGCTTGGATTGGGGACATCCACAGTACCTTTGTGAAGCCCTGACCTTCACTTGGCACCAGGAACTGCAGGCTGTTCACCCAAAGGATCCTCTCTTCCCTCTAGTTTTTTTTCAGCAAGCCTCTGCGGATCTTGAACATCCTGCTCCTCCTCGAGGGGGCTGTCATCTTCTACCAGCTCTACTCACTGGTGGTCTCTGAGAAGTGGCACCAGACCATCTCACTGGCCCTGATCCTCTTCAGCAACTACTATGCTTTCTTCAAACTTCTACGGGATCGCCTGGTGCTGGGGAAAGCTTACTCGTACTCTGCCACCAGAGAGACTGATCTAAAGCTGAACTGAGGACGAGTTGCAGAAGGTAACAGAGAACAGCAGCTCCAAGCGTTGTTGAGGGCCACCCGAGACTGCATTGAGGGGCCCCTCGGCTGCCTGCCCTGCCCTGCAGGAGAAGCGTTTCCTCGCTGGGTCACAGAATATGCTGGAGCACGGGGCTTGAGAATCTTGCAGTCAGGCCGGCCCTGAGCTTTGTATGTCTTTTCTACCATTTCTTTTGGTTTGGTTTTGCTTTGGTAAGGAAAATATCTTATTTTTCTACTCTCAATTTCTGTCAGCCTGCTTTGTGGAGCAGTAAGAGCTGTAACAACCACTCAGTCTTAGGAGTATTTCTTGCTGGTGTCCTGGGCTGCCTGAGAGCTTGTGGGGGGTGTCTGCACTTAGCAAAAAACAACAACATAAGATCTGTAATTTGAACGGCAGTCCTTCCTCTGCTCTCTCTCCCCCAGCCTCCATAGAAAACAACCCAGTGCTGCAGGTTCTTGATGGTGGGCAGTCCTGTAAATCTTTACAGCGGCCAAGAGTTTTTTACAACTCTAGGAAACATTCTGTTGTGTTCGTTTGTCCATCCTCGCAATGACAATGACAGTAGAGCAGCAACCTTGGCAACTTTTAAAATGTGTGAACTTCAACTCCCGGGATTCCTCATGTCTGGCTGGGAAATACTGGGAGTTGAAGTCGGCCTGGCATCCAAGGTTGAGAAACACTCCTGCAGAAGAAGGAATTGAAACTCTTGAAATGATTTCAGCTGACACTTGGAGGGATGGAAGGGATTCACCCTTTTGAAGAAAGAGAGTGTGGGGAAGGGAGGTATATAACACTCGTAGTTTGGCAGCATCTTTTCTGACTAATAAATGTTATGAAAAGTTTTATAAAACCGCAAGGGGTGAGAATTAACTAAGGTCACATGCACACTCTTCAGGGATTGGATAATATTTCCTGTGTCTCCTCCTGTGTCGCGTTTGCTTGAAATAAACCTTTGTGTGCAGGAAAAAGGCCTTATATGGCTATAGACCAGGGATGTCCAAACTTGGGAACTTTAAGAATTGTGGACTTCAACTCCCAGAATTCCCCAGCCAGCATGGGTTGAAGTCCACAAGTCTTAAAAGTTCCCAAGTTTGGACAGTCCTGGTATAGATGGAGCATCCTTGCACTGAAGCTGTCCTATCAGCGGTTAAAATGAAGAAATATAAAGGCAGGGGTAGCAGGGGGGAGCTTCTTGCCAGTCAAATCTTTCCTGTTCTACTTTTCAAAGAGCATAAGACATTACTGAGTCAGATCAAAGCCTCTCTAGCCCATCATCCACTTCCTTCTGTGGCCGGCCAGATAATGGACAAAAGGTGAGTCTAATAGCCATTGCTAACTTCTATTTCAGCCATGGTCTCACTGTCAGTACTGGGGTGAGCCCCAGATGCTGGCCAGCTGATTTTCTCCAGCATTGCACACTTCCTAAGAGAATCCTGAGTAAAATTGCAAAGTTGCCAAGATTGGAGGCCCCCAATACAAGATTTATCTTTACAGCACAAAGGAACTTCTAACAGCTCTTGGAAATATTCTGTGGGGTACATTTGTGCATCCAGAGTAGATTGTAGGACAGTGTTTCTCAGCAGTGGAGTCATGGGCCGAGTGAAGTCTGTCTGAACATCTCCTGTCTCTGTATTTGCACACGCTTGGTGACCTATTGTAAATGCTTTTTCAATGCTTGGTCTTTATGTTAAGGCAGGGCTGTCCAATTTTGCCAACTTTAAGACCCGTGCACTTCAACATGCTGGCTGGGGAATTCTGGAAGTTGAAGTCCGCAGGTTGCCAAGGTTGGACACTTCTGTGTTAAAGATATGGACTGTTTTGCCAGCTTCATTTGCTAAGAAAAGTACAAAGAGATATTTTTTAAGAGCCGTGGTCTCAGTCACTCAGAGTTCAACTGCCCTACAATTTCTAAAAGACATTCAGGAGAGAGTGCTACCAAAAGTACTTCAAAATTGGAAGAGAGTACTTTTCATAGGATCAGATGTGATTGTCTTTCAAAACCAGCATTCATGTTTGGGAGGTAAGTAGGGAGGAAGGAATGGGTTGTAGTGATTCTTTAAGTTAAGTCGTCTTCCAATTGTACAGAGAGTCCTTGACTTAGGATGACAGTTGGGACCAGAATTTTTGTTGCTAAGCAAGGCAGTAGTAGTCTCACCTGATTTTACAACCTTTTTTTCCCCCACAATAGGGTTGTTGTGTTGTTAATGTTGTTGCACTCCAGGAAACAATCTGTGATTGTTCCTTGCTGTACAGAGTCATAGAGGTGCTGGGTTTGACACCTGCTTGTTCAGATACGTATCTAAAAAAACCCAAAATCTCCAAAGGACCCACTTGATCTTATTTTCTGTAAGAGAGTGAAACTACCCATAGAATATCCTTAATGAGCATTTCCCTGTCCACCACAGCAAACACCCTTGTGTGTATTTTTAAAACAAATCACATGTAGCAAAATTTCATTGGTTTAGGGTGGTTTATCCTTTCCTAATGGTGCTGTGCATAATCCTGTGCAGGAAGCCCTATTTCTAAATCTGCTGATAGCCATGAGACCTGCCTGTTTTGCCCTACTGATGAGAGAGCGCAACTGGCAGCTACGAAAGGCATTCCCTGCCTTTGAAGTAACACCTTAGACATTCTTCACATCAGACAAGGATGTTTGTAAGGAAACAGCCCAGAATTTGAGGTATAAATGGGGCAAAGCTAACTGTGAAGAGGTAACTCTTCGCTACCTGCTGCTTCAGGATCCTTTTGCTGAAAGGCTTTGAGCTGTAGTTCAGCAGGCTATGCCGAAGTACAAGGAAGGAAGCTCTTGGGCAGGGGCCTCCAACCTTGGCAACTTTACAACGTGTGGACTTCAATTCCTCAGTCAGCCATGATTAAGGATTACATGGACACCTGTATCATTGGCTTGAAACCCCCCCCCCCCAACACACAATCGTGTAGGTTGGTGTTTTTCAACCTTCAATGCTTTTAAGGGGTGTGAATGTTAACTCCCAGAATTCTCCAGCCAGACATGAGGAATTCTGGGGGTTGAAGTCCACAAATCGTAAAGTTGCCAAGGTTGGAGGCCCCTGCCCAAGAGCTTCCTTCCTTGTACTTCGGCATAGCCTGCTGAACTACAGCTCAAAGCCTTTCAGCAAAAGGATCCTGAAGCACCAGGTAGCGAAGAGTTACCTCTTC